CACGGTGGTGATAAGCTACTACTGCACCACAGCTGCCCTGGGGCACACTGACAGAAGCCTGACTGGTTGCCTACCAGTATGTGCCATCGGCCCCTTCGACCACCACCAACCAGTCACACACACACCAGACTCATTCTAGGCAATGGGGGTGAAGTGTCTTGCCTAAGGACACAACGACAGCAGAAAGTGGGAGTTGATGGTGAAAGTCTTGAGGTGGGCTCGAACCCATGACTTTCTGGCTCAAAGGCCAATGCTCTACCAACTGAGTGTACAGTAGATTTCCAGAAATTAACATTTCTGGACAGTGGGTATCCTGCTCCCTATGGACCAATGGCTCCTATGTGTTTGTGTTTCCTGTGTTCCAACTGTTTGATTCTCTGATCTTTTGTTGGTGATTTGACAGCTTTGTAAAGTCTTCTGAGGCGACTGCTGTTGTGATTTAGGGCTATACACAAATACATTGAATTGAATAATGTATATATTTTCATTCATTAAAAACACCTACATTAAACACTTCGGATCACTCTACACATGTGTCCTTCTTAAGTCCACGTCCTGCATCGTACACACCAGACATCTGTGTGTTTTCCAAATGTGAGGAAAGTGTGAATGAAGTGACGTGGGCGGGTGATTGGATAACGCCGGGGCTGGTACCACCATGACTCACACTGCTCTGTCTAATAAATCTTTTAATAGAATCATGAACAGAATATGGTGCAATTATTCTCCGATCAAAACAAATCATCTCCACACGTCCGGCCATCTGCTTCCACTGGATCGTTGCACCAGAAGAATGCGTGATGTTGTGGTTTTATTGTTGCGTGTCTTTGGTCTTGTCTGATACTGTGATACACTATAAAGTCAAATGAATTATGAGCAAACCCCTGGGTGTCCAAGACGTCTGGTCTGCCCATTCAGATCTATTTCCTTCGTTTAAATGTATGTGTAATCAACATGGACCTTTTGAAAGGCGCTATATAATTAAAGACTACTTACTACCATTACTTACTTAATTGGATAATTCTGTTTCTGGTTACGCCAACACCGGCAAGATTGCTGGGTCTTGGTCTCTCACTCTCGAGTTTAGTCTCTCTTTCTGGACTCTTTCTCCCTGGTTTCTCTGGACTCCCTCTCCCTCTCTGGTCTCTCTCTCTGGTACCACTCTCTCCCTGGTCTCTCTTTCTGGTCTCTCACTTTCTATTCCAGTCTCTATCTCTGTTCTCTCTCTCTGGACTCTTTCTTGTCTCTCACTCTCTAGTAGTCTCTCTCTGGTCTCTCTCTCTGGACTCTCACTCTGGTCTATCTCTCTGCTCTCCCTCTCTCTGGTCTTTCTCTGTCCCTAGTCAAGCATGTCAGCACTTTCTTCTGCTGGGACCGGCCACCACTGTTTCTGGGCAGTCAGAGTGCCACTGACCAGAGTGGGACCAGAGCTAAGTTTGTGGATTTATGGAAAAAAACGATGGATTTCAAACTAAAAAAAGTTCAGAATGTGAAGTGACACACATCCCCACAGAAACCTACTTTGTGAAAACTGGTTCCCCGTCAGCTGAGTACGAGCCGTTTTAGTGAACACTAAGGTCTAAAGGGAAATCTCCTCACAGCCCGTGTGGCTTCAAACTGCAGTACCACAGGTGGCCACTTGTTCATGTGGAGACGGGTTAAAGCAGCAATACCTTCCACATATTAGAAATGTGGCTATAACATGGTCTCCTTTGAGATCTTGATACATTATTTCAATAACATTTCCATTATGATGAAGTTGGTTCCAACCCCATCACAAAGTGATGGGGTTGGAACCCAATAAGCATTTGCTTCATCCAACTCCTTCTCGAACCAGGTACGGGTTATCTGTCTGCTATATTGATATATGTAAAAATGTGTATTGTGCATGGTTCGAAATAAATAAATAAAATTATAAGGACAACACATATTCCACCACATACTCCAGGACTGCTATGATCTAAAGCTGGGATACTTGATTTTCAAACGAGGAGAAAGAACCTGGCTGAATGTATACACTAGTACAAACTAGCAGCTACAGTATCTCACACACAAAGTGAATCGTCCAAAGAGATATAGAGGACAAAGTCAAACACTTTACATAATTTTGGTGGTGGAATGCACTGCTTTTCCCTTCATAAAGTTTAAGCTTGTACAAAACATGGTTGAAACATGGTGGAGAAACTGGCCACAGTCTATTGTAATGTGATTCCCTCTAGTTTCTCTCTCCCTAGTCTTTCTCTCTCTGGTCTTTCACTCTCCAGTCTAGTCTCTCTCTGGACTCTCTCCCTCTGGTCTCCCTCTCTGTCACTGGTCTCTTTCCCTGGTTGCTCTCTCTCTGATCTCTCACTCTGTAGTCTCGACTCTCTCTCTGGTCTCTCTCCCTGGTCTCTCACTCTCTAGTCTATTCTCTCTGGACTCTCTCTGGTCTCTCTCTCCGGTCTCTCTCTCTGATCTCTCACTCTCTAGTCTAGACTCTCTCTGTGGTCTCTCTCCCTGGTCTCTCACGCTCTAGTCTAGTCTCTCTCTGGTCTCTCTCTCTGATTTCTCACTCTCTAGTCTAGACTCTCTCTGTGGTCGCTCTCCCTGGTCTCGCACTCTGTTGTCTACTCTCTCCCTGGTCTCTCCCTGGTCTCTCTCTCTCTCTCTCTCTCTCTGTCTATCTGTCTGTCTGTCTGTCTGTCTGTTCTCTCTCCCTGGTCTATCACTCTCTAGTCTAGTCCGTCTCTCTATTCGCTCTCTCTGGTCTCTTTCTGGTCTCTCTCTACAAACGGCTTCACCCAAATACTTCCTGTTTCTGCCCAGCACTTGCACAGATCGGCCAATAGCACCAGACTTTTCTCAAGCTCATTCAAAGCTGATACAAATGAGTGGAATCAAATACATTCAAATGACTTCTTCGGGAACGCTCCGTGGCAGCAGCATAAAATAAAAGGTTCAATAATCACTTTCTCTGTGTTAAGCCTCACAAGCGCTGAGATTGTTCACTCACTCAATAGTGTTGGTCTGCTGTAGCCATGGCTGCCCAGGGGCCAATCAGACAGCTCAACAACATAGTTTTGAAGCGAAAGCCTCTGCACAGTGCGTTCAGACTGTTCTCCCTGTGTCTGCTACCACTAAAAACATGTACAGCAAGGGTTGTAGAGAGCTATATACAACAGAAATGGCAGAGAGCTACTCCTTTTTGCAGTTGTGATAAAAATCTATAACATTGACAAAACTTGGAAGACACCTGTAAAATATACCATAATACTGTATAATCCTATATTTATAATTAAAATAGATGTGTAATGACCCAAAAGTGAATCATTCAAGATCATGTATTAAATTCTAAATCCTTTGGGGAACCACCTGAAAGGAGCTACTGGTAGTTCTCGAGCCACAGGTTGGAGACCCCTGATGTACAGTAGGTAGTAAACAACATAAGTCAAAAATGGCTCAAATTTGGCTAAATGTATCTTAAGTTGAATGGAACAAGCACAATTATCTTGTTTTAAAAATATACAAGAAATGTCCCCATTAAAATAAAGACAAAATGGTTTTGTCCCCTTGGCAAATCTGGTCAGAATGTATTCATATATAAGATAAAAAACACTTAAGTCAAGCAATTATTACCTCATATTCAGTCATTACTATCATTTTTTGCAGTGGTGAAAAACATTGGATGGTCGATTAGAATTATAAAATTTCTTATTCTGCAGTTTTGGAAGTCAACACCATGTATTTGTTATTAGTCTGTTTTACATATATTGATATATGTAAAAATATGTGTTGTGAGGTTTGAAATAAATAATCTAATCTAATCTAACAGGAAGTCATTTTTTCTATTATAAATGCATTGAGTTTTGCTGATCATACACACATGCTGATTTCAAACCACCTCAATACACCATGTTGTTCTTTATTTCAACAGATTTTACAAGTTTTCAACCAATCTATCAATCTTTATTGGTGGAGCGCCTTTCCTATACACAGGGCAACACAAAGCACTTCACAGACCACACCACACAAGGCGCAAATCATCGTATAATAAACAAACACCGAAATCACACCATTAAAAACAATCACAGGTCAATGAAAACAATCACAGGTCAATAAAAACAATCACACAAGGGATTAAAATATTACATAACCACAGTGCATTAGAAATAGCATATGCAGCTATGATACAAAAAAAAATGCTAATACAAAAGATTAAAAAATAATAATAATTTGTTCCAATGAGGCAAAAACAACTGTCTTACGTCACTGGCAATTGTTTTCATGAATGCTAAAGAAACCAGTGTTACAATAATAACAATCATAATAATACTTATAATAATAATAATAATCCATGTCTATTCAGAAACTTCCCTTCATTGCTATACTAAAACAATGGTGAATCTCTCTCAACTCCAGATGTGTTGCTGCTTATGCCACGGCACGCTCTTGTCCCACCGTCGCGCACAAATTACCCCATAATAGACCCTAATGAATCACTGTAACGTCCTCTCTGGTCTCATTGAGCAGTTCTAACGAGGCTTCCTACTGTATATGTCACCTTCACGCGTGCACAACAACAACAAACAGCAAACCCCGCAGCGCATATTTATAACCTGTGTTTATTTTTTGCATTTGACCAGTAGAGGTGCGAGGAGCCTGCGTGAAGAGTGAGATTATGGCGTCAAGGTCACATAAGGGGAAATGATGGGGAAATGAATAGCACGCATGCACCCGAGAGAGCCTGCGTGCATGCAAACCCACGTGCAGATATGCGTCTCTATACGTCGCTATGTGCAGACTAAAAAAAAAACTCCATATACACTGTAATGATGACAGCGCGGTGATAGAGACGCCAAGTGCACGTGTGCCAGCAATAATAATAACAATATTTATTATGAGGTCATCTAATGTGAGCGTGCAGCCATGGTGAAGATGGACCCGAGAAAAAAAGTGTGTGTGCATGTGTGTGTGTGTGCGTGTGCGTGTGTGTGTGTGTGTGATCCACGGGTATTTCTCACCTGGTAGCTGAGGAGGCTGTCTGGTTCTTTGGACATGGTGTTGTGGTGGTGAATTCCTCTGAGGCTGGATGTGGACTGGCGCTAGTAGTGCGTGTGCGCGGTCATGGTGCGGCGGACAGGTCACAGCGATGCGATGAGAGCGTGGAGCATGTATGTATATATGTGTGAGTGTGAATGAGTGTGTGTGTGTAGGTGGGGTATGTGTGTGCGTGCATGTGTGTGAGTGTATACTTGTGTATGCATGTGTGTGTGTATGCAGCTCTGAGTGTGGCTCCTGTCCTGTTGTGGATGCTGCGGATTCAGCCAATCACGGCGCGGCACTGCTGCTATGTGGTGCGCACTGCGTGGAACTATCAAGAGACTGACTTTCCCCAGCTTTCACTTGGATTAAAGAGACCTGAGTATGAGCCCGCCCATGTTTGAGTGATGTATTATTTCACAAACATAATGTGTAATAAAGAAAATGGGAAATGTAGCAGCAGCAGCCGTAGCAGCAGCAGCAGCGGCTGTGTGGGGCTAATAATAGAACCTGTCTCGGTTTAAAGAAATGCTGCAAGGTTTGGGAGCCATCTGGTGGACAAATGAAACACTGCAGCCTCTCTCTATGTGTGTATGAATGTGTTTGTGTGCGTGTGCGTGCGTGTGTGTATTTATCAGAAATCAGAAACCTACCTTTGAACATTTATACAACGAAATTTGAACATATATATAACTAATCAGCGGCACAAGTATTACAAAGGCTAAACAAAATATTATATTATTTGTGTGGATTTATTATATATATATTGTCGTTGTCATGTACACCAAAAGACAACACAATAAACAAGATTTGAAAAATTACTTAGTTCTTAATTAGCAAAAGTAGATTCAGTGCCATGAATCTGTTGTTTTTCCCAACAAAAAGATTCTCGTCAAAGTAAAATATTGTGAATAAATCAGACCGCAAAATGCATGTCTTTATCTTACTTGAAAATATGTTATCTGTTGCATTGTTGAAGACCCCTGTGAGTTACTTTTTTACTAACTGGGCTAAAAGCTGATTGGCTGAGTGAGGGTGCCCTCTCTTTTTCATTTTTACGTTTAAAGAAAGTGGCCCAAAATACATGAAAACTATGTGACTGAAGCAACCTGAGAGTAAGGAACTAGTAGTGACATGGATTTCATTCCATAGTGTCATGTGTTTGTGATTTTGGAGGCCCATAGTTTGATACCCCAGCTATAAGTTCGAGCAGTTTGATTTGGAAAAGGGTGAAATGGAAATCAAATCAAATACAACCAAAAGAAGAGTGAGAGCCTTTCAAAGTTACGTGTTTGGTTTGTTTAGGCCTCTTAAAACGTAATCCTGTTATGCTTAATTGACCTCCACTTAACACTGCTCAGTGCTCATGGATCTAAATTGTGTTTATTTCAGACTGAGGCTTAAGTTCTTTATGCCCTGCACATGCGCAGTTCAACAAGTGAAACTGACCTGCCTGCTGATCCAGACTGCATCCAAATTCTTCAAGAAAATCCTTTCTTGTTTTCTCATCTTTAGTGATCTTGATATTTCACATAATAACATCAATAGAATCTTTCAAACAGTGTTGAATAAATTTGATCAGACCTAGAGTGGGCGTGTTTCATAAAAAGTACACTTATTATTATAAATCCATGACTTTAAGGCAGTTAGCTAGGAAGTTTCAAGCTAAATTTGAACGTAGCCTTTTTATTTAAAGGACGACAGGGGAAGCGCACCACCGATTGGCTTATTCTTGCAATTCTCTCTTTTAATTCGCTGTCACAACCTTGTTTTCTGACTTCAACCAATCATAAGCAGCATATAAACTTAACCAAGATACAGCAGGACCGTGCTACTTGAAGAACCAGCCAACCGGAGACAGCGCTTCCTCTGTCGTCCTGTAAAAAGTCATATGCGGTTTCCATGACGACCGTAAACAGCGGGAGTGTTGTCATGGGAGCAGTGTGAGTGCGGGGAAAGGAAATGCATCCGTTTGTGTGTGTTTTTAATGCTAAATAATGGGTATTTAACGATATTTAAGATAAACATTAGCAGCATTAGCATGACATCATTTCTTCAGTCCCTCACGTGTGCCCTCGTTGACTGCCTCCCGTCATGGGTAAGATGACCACGCTTCTGTTGATAATATAGCTAACCTACGTGGAAACCTGGTGTAACGTAACGCTACCTGTATTCACTCGGGCCAGTCCCATGTCCCAGATTTGTGTCCATGTCCCAGTATAATATGTGTTCAGAAGCATTGATTTGTACTGGTTTTTTACAAGACATGTCCCAATTTCTGATCAGTTTGACGTCACTAAAGGAATGCATGTGTTGGCAAAGTAGTATAGCTAGACATTGCCTTAAAATGGTAGCTATATGTTTTATATTGTATGCGTGAGCTACTGTGTCCATGTCTCTTCCCTTGTCTGGATTGATATCGTTTGTCATACATTAAAGCTGGGGTACTTAACTTTTTCATCATAAATATGAAACGTGTTGCTTGTCCCAGTGTTGTTAAAATGGTGCGAACAAATCCAACCACAACGTGCTTTCTTAATATTATTCAAAAATATGTAAAATTTTGTGTAGGACAGAGCCCTGTTGGTCGCTATTTGACGCTTCAAGCTGAGAGATGATTGGCTGAGTGAGGGTGGTCCTCTCTTCTTTCATTTTTCTGTCTGAAAAAGTTGATCTAAAGATGTAACATAGGCCAAACATTCATGCATGTGGACACTAGTAATGATAATTATACTGTCGAAAATCAGACGCATACAGTAGGCAGGGATCTTTGCACACCAGAGCAACCTGGAAGTTTATTCACAACAGGCGGTAGATTCAGGCAGAACAATAAACAGAGAAACATTATATATTGGAATTTGCGTCATCATGAAAGAGCCAAACCCAGGCGTCAGTCAGCTAAAACAACGGATACACAATCGTAGCAGATATACAATCAAAGAACATTGTGTGTTTTGTACTTCTAGTTTATCTTATTTTTGTACTACTATATAGGCCATGGCCTATATAGAAGGCCATGGCCTTCTATTGTTCATAATACTAATAATAGATAATAATAACAACAGGTACCAGAAAGAGTTGCATTGTTTTTTGTTGCATAATTCTGATTTGACCTACCAGGCAAGGAAATACCAGGGGGGAGGCAGATTCAAGTGTTCCATCATCACGCTATGAAACAGACAGTGTTGGAATAGCAATGAGCAGTCTACAGCTGAAGTCATAATATCGACAGATGGAGTAGCAGCGAGGAGAAGCTTTTTACCCTTACGTTCCTCCCAACATGGTTTTTAATTCTGAAAGTCTGCTTTTTCATGTCCTTTCTCCAGTGAAAATGCAGAAACCCTGAAGCTCAGGACCTGTTCTCTGACCGTCACTGACCGGACGTTGCCATGCAGCAGACGCCAGGTCTGTTTCACATATCAGCGCTTCTAACCCACAATAACTTTATGTCCTGTGTGAGATTATTTATATAATTATGTATTCATCATAAATTTATGATCAAACCCTGCAGTGTTGCAGACGGCCCTGCATCGCTTTGGCCCCTGTCTCCCTACCATCAGACTGGACCGGCTCCGCATGGCAAAAGCTCTGGTGGAGAAGGCGGTCAAGGTGTGACCTTCATATCCGGTTTCCCCAATGATCAACACAAAACAAGCAGAGAATGTGTTAAATGTGTGGATTTAATATCATACTGCGGCGTATCATGAGAGCTATAGTAGGTGTAATTAAGGCCCATGGATGTTAGTGTATTATTTGGATAACGGTTTTCTCTTTAAACCCACATGGACAAGGGGCCATCCGCGGTTCTGCAGAATAAATCCACATTAGCCGTTTTTCCCATAGACCTTAATTTTCACTAAAGTGGCTCCTCCTCAGCTGACACCTGAGTCGTTGCTGATGCAGAAGGGTCTAAGGACAGGGGGACATTCAATGCACATTGGACATTTGTTAACATTTCTGGACAGTAGTCATCCCGCTCCCTGACGACCAATGCTTCCTAAGTGTTTGTTATTATTGCTCTGTTGTTGAGGAACCGACTTCCTCAACAACTTCCTCTGGGACGACTGCTCTTTTGACATAGGGTTGTTAAAATTAATTAAATTCAATTTTTATTTGTACAACCCTAAATCACAGCAGTAGTGGGCGGCGTGGTGGCTGAGTGATTAGCACTTTTGCTTCTCAGAAAGAGGGTCCTAGTCGGAACAAGACCTTTCTGAGTGGAGTTTGCATGTTCTCCCCATGTCTGTGTTGGTGGCACCTCCGGGTGCTCCGGTTTCCCCTACCACAATAAACATGTACAATAGGTCTGGCATGCGTCACCTGTACTGGTGACCCCTCCTCTCTGTGAGAGCACTTTGTGATTGGTCTGTGAAAGGCGGTATATACAGTGAATACAGATTACTTACTTACTAGTTATTTCAGGACTTAACAAAGCCGGACAACACAGATCAGAGAATCAAACAGATCAACAGAGCTGTGCATAAAGTAACTGTCCCTAAACTATGGGAGATAGTGCCAGGCGCTCTGCGAATGTCCCCTGTCTATCTTTCCCTGCTCAGACTCACAACATTATTCACATATCGCATAATTATAATGTGTAGAAGCGGGTGTGGCTTCATCAGGCGACGTCAGTCCAGACCAGGTCTCGGTCTTGGGTCCTGGTCTGAAGTCCTGAACCTTGGTCTCAGTCCTTTTCGCCACATCATCACTTTTCTGAAAAACCTTTTGGAGAAACAGGAAGCATATGTTCCCTATTGTCTACTGTCATCAATTTAAACTCTTGACATTTTAGTTTCTGTCTTGTGACAGACAGTCCCTGTGTCTGTGTCCAGCACAAAAACAAATCAAACGACGTAATTGTTGTATATAAAATCACTGATGATAAATGGTGATTATAGTATTGTATTTCATGCAACAGATCTCAAAGACTATTTTGGGTTAGCAAGGCAGAGGGCCACATATAATGACACCGCAATTGGCCCCCGGGCCTGAGTTTAGACATGCCTGTACGAGAACATACAGTATTTTATACTTGCTCCTTATTCAGTCAGGGGTGTTCGCTTCTTCATTACGCTAAAGTTGGAGATTTTATACTTCCTTCCTTATTATGCTAAAGTGGCAAGAGCTCTGGTGTGTGTCTGGTGCACACCGGGGTAGTCTTGCACAGTTTTTCCAATGTGGTTTTACTGCAAATGGCAAATAAATGAATCTGAATCTGAATCTGAATCTGAATCAGATAGAGATTTTATACTGCTTCTTTATTATTCATTTATATTGTGCTGTGTGCTCCTAACTCCTCCTATTTTGTAATTTGTGATGCAACATTTCCCCACAGTGGGATGAATAAAGGATGTCTTAATCTTAATCTGAACATTCTGATAAATTATGGAAAGTGTGTCTGTGTGCTAGATTATTGTGTAGGTTTTTGTTCATTTTTGTATCGTCCTTTTGTATCTGGTCTTCTCTTGTTTTGCTGCAGACTCACCGGATCTTCTCCATCTTGGGTCGGTACCCAGTAATCCGTGCGGCGCTCCGGTCCCGGGGCTGGGTGGAGAAGCGTTTGTCTGGTCGCCTCCACAGATCCTCGGCCCACAGCCAGGGGGGAGAGTGCGAGGACGGGCAGGAGGGGGACACCAGCCCCGAATCAGCTGGTGAGACGATCCAGAACATGGAGGGGGATTTTTAAAGCTGGGGTACCTTACTCTCAAACCAGAACAAAAATAAAAAATCAGATTAGTTCCTCGCTCTTAAACAGTTTGGTTCTGTCTCTAGTCAAATAGTGGCAAGGCAAACACACAAACCATCACATGTTTTAACCATGGATCTATAATAATAACTGGATAGGGTATTACTAGCTTATAGTTGTCCCACCCATGGGCACAGGGGGCGCCTGTGGTACTGCAGACTAAATTCACGAGGGCTACCCAGAAAAATGTCCAATAGAACTCAATGTAAATTAAAACAGCTCAACCTCAGCTGACAGAGAATATGCAGCTTTCATAAAGATCAAATTTTGTGGGGATTTTAGTGTCCCTTGTCATCCTGAACTTTTTCTTCTTAAATCCTTCGGTTTTCTTTAAATCCACACTTTACTGCCACAAACTCTGCTCCCTGCCTTCCCGCTCACTCCGCTCTGCTGCTGCTCTGATCAGCAGCTCTGATTGGCCAGAGCGCGGCCGAGCCCCTCTGTGCGCGTGCATGAAAGCCACACAGACCCGCGTTTGGCGCGACGCATTATGGGAAATGTCTCCCATAATGCGTTGCGCTAATCCACTGTGCAGAACCGGGAGGACCAGACGATGCCCATATATAGGCGAGTCAGCTAATCTCCAGGTCTCCATGAAGTCCCATGCACTACTGAGCACAAGCCATTCATTTGAAAAGGGCGCCATTTTGGATCACCGGGGCTTGGTTTTAACCTAGCCTGGCCTTAGCCTTTCGTACACTCCACTCAATTATAATTTCTCCTACATGTAACGTCTGGGTTGGGTCCCTGTGTTAGCGTATACAATCGGTTGAATTCCATCCGACCAATCAGCGAGCGCGGGAGGCGGGTGTTGTAGTTAGTTGTGGGTGACGTCAAGAGTTTGCGCCAAAAGGGCAGGTTGTAGTTTGGCAATGGCGAAGAATGCGATAGTAAAGTATTCCAGTCTGGTTCTATCAAGAAATTGAAGCCGGGGCAAGAGTAATGTTTAGCAAATGTAATTGCTGCAAAGATTGTGGCGCTACTCCCCACGGGCTCCGTTAGTGGCAAAGGAGATAAATGCTAACGACTCACTTAGGCGCAATACATACGTCACGGTAAACTCAGATCCAATCGTTTCAATCCGCAAATTGAGTTAACCCCTCCCACTTGTAAACGGAGCTCAATGGAGCACCTCCAGACCTTTGTACGAAATGTAATTTGTACTATGGTGTGGTACAACCAGGCTAGTTTTAACCCTACTCTACTCGGCATTACTGTACCTGATAACTGGTTGTGTTTCCATTACGCTTTAGTATCTGGCACCAATGCTAGCAACTTGCAATCCTAGCAATCCTAGCAACTTACCCACAACAAACCAGTATTCGGGGAAATTCTTTGGTAACCATGGGTTCCCTCATCATTCTGACCAATCTCTGTCAGTTAGAACACTTGAGTACTAGCTCAGTCTGGGCATAGACTGTATATAAGATGGACAATGCTAACCTGCTCAATGAAGCCCAATAGATTTTGACTTACATTGAAAGGTGAACTTCTCTTGCTCAATAATTTTTGTGTCACACTCACCATTTTGGGCTTGAATTATTTGCGTTTTAGCACTCTCTGTGATCCTGGTGTTTTTATTTTGATGTTCTCTTTGTGAAGGGGGTTCTCCCACTTTTCTGTCTCATGAAGCTGAGCAAAACATTATTTTTCATTTTGTTATTCTTCTCCCCAGAAGCTGCAGAGGAAGAAGAAATCCACGACGACATGAGTGAGATCATGGTGAAGAAACATGACAATATGCTTTTAAGTTTATATGTTTAATTATGTACATTTTGAATATTTTTCCAGATAGAACAAACTTGAAATATGTTTTACTTCAGTCAATCTTTATTAATATAATCATTTACAGATGGTTTGGGACAATACTTAATCACAGCATAACAAGCCGTGTAACAATACAATACACAATACAATACAATTTATTCTTGTATAGCCCTAGGTCACAACAGAAGTCATCTCAGAGGACTTAACAAAACCATTGAAATCACCAACACAGGTCAGAGAATCAACAGTTAAAACACATGAAGAATATAAAGCACACACAGAAGAAAATGTCCATACATGTTGTAGAATGCTAAAGTGTCCTGATCATCACCAATCCTTTCTGTTGGACACTAACTGTCCAACAAGACCCTCCTGCATTGACAAGGAAAAACTCTTAAAAAACCCAGTGGGAAAAAGTGAGAAACCTTGGAGGAGAACTAGGGAAACCCACAGGGAGGGAGACCCATATGAGAAAGGGATCCGCTCCTCCGGACGGACAGACTAATGATCCAGGACCTAAGCTAGCTACAGAACGTGGACCAGTGGCCGCTGAACGTGGACAGGTCCGGTGCAGGACTGAAGCACTCCCAGGCGGGTCGGGCGGGGCAGTCCGCAGGTGTAGATGGAAGAGGCCAGGCTCAGAGATCCCGTCATCGTACCATGAAACAGACAATGGGACAACGGGTGAATAGCAATGAACAAACTACAGTCAGAATCCTAAAAATGCTAAACAGATAAAGTAGGAAGGAGGAGAGGATAGTGCTCAAGTTACCATACTTCTCCCAGCAAACTGACTCCCTATGCAGCTTGACTAACACTCTGAGGAGTTTAACCTTCTCCGAGTCTTACCTTCCTAGCCATATGCTAAACTAAAGAGGACTGTTTTAAACCTAGCCTTGAATAAAGAATAACATACAGCATAATATATAACATAATATACAACATAACACAATACATTATTGAATAATATATAACATAATATATAACATAATACAGCATATATATATAATATATACACTACATATTATATATTACCTAATTATATGCTAAATTAAAGTAAAGTGCTTTAAGCCTGGCCTTGAATGTGGAGACCGTATCTGCTTCCTTAACATAAATGGGAAGCTGATTCCACAGTAAAGGAGCTTGGTAGCTAAATGCTCTGCCACCAACAGTGACCTTTGAGACCTTAGGGACCACCAGACGTCTGGCGTTTTGTGAGCGCAACGCTCGACCTGGTTGATACGACACTAACGTGTCTTGGAGATAAGAAGGAGCCAAGCCATTTATGGCTTTATATGTTAAGAGTAGGATTTTAAACTTTATTCTGTACTCCACAGGGAGCCAGTGGAGTGATTTTAACACCGGAGTTATGTGCTCCCTCCTTTTGGTACCTGTTAAGATCCTAGCTGCTGTATTCTGAACGAGCTGGAAGCTCTTCAAAGAGGCTTTAGGGCACGCTGCCAGTAAAGCGTTACAGTAGTCGAGCCTTGAGGTGACAAACGCGTGAATGAGTTTTTCCGCGTCACTTTTAGGAAGGAAATTCCTAATTTTAGCGATGTTCCGTAAGTGGAAGTACGCCGTTTTAGTTGCTTGGCTTATATAAGCCTTGAAGGAGAGTTCTTGGTCAAAAATGACTCCAAGATTCCTCACAGTGTTACTGGGTATTATACTGACATTATCGAGAGTAACCATCTGGTTAGTGAGGGAGTCACGCAGGCGCTTCGGACCGAGTAGGATCACTTCTGTCTTCTCCGGGTTGAGAAGTAGGAAGTTAAGAGTCATCCACATTTTAAGGTCCTTTATGCAGGCACTGAGCTTTTCTAGCTGATCTGTCTGATTAGGCTTCATCGACAGATAAAGCTGTGTGTCATCTGCATAGCAGTGGAAATTAATTCCATGCTTTTTAATAATGTTTCCCAGTGGCAGCATGTAGAGAGTAAAAAGAATCGGTCCGAGTACCGAACCCTGCGGCACACCGAATTCCACTCCAGAATAAGGCGACGAGTCCTGATTCACATTGACGAAGTGATATCGATCTGATAAATAGGATTTAAACCAGCCAAGGGCTGTTCCTCTAAGACCTATATCACATTCTAGCCTCTGCAGTAGAATGCTGTGGTCTATTGTGTCAAATGCAGCACTAAGGTCCAGTAGGACCAGCACTGACACTTGTCCATTATCGGCAGCTAGTAGTAAGTCATTTGTGACTTTGACTAGTGCCGTTTCAGTGCTATGATGAGCTCTGAATCCTGATTGAAAGACTTCAAACATATCATTTTCCTGCAGGTGGCAGCGGAGCTGCTCAGCTATAAGTTTTTCCAGGATTTTAGATATAAAAGTGAGGTTTGAGATCGGTCTGTAGTTTGTAAGTATTTCTGGGTCCAGGTTTGTTTTCTTCAGAAGGGGTTTGATTACCGCGGTTTTAAAAGCTTGTGGGACATAGCCACATTGTATGGATGCGTTTATTATATTTACGATAGGCTCAATTATCAAAGGAAGTATGTCTTTGAAGAGCCATGTCGGGACTGCGTCTAACATGCAAGTTGAGGCTTTTGAGGATGTGACCACAGAGATCACCTCTGCTTGGCTCACAGCCATGAATTTATTAAGGCCCACTGAAGAGTCTAAGTGGGAAGTCACGTATGCCGCTTCAACCTGTCCACCACTAACAGCAGGAGTAACCTCCTCCAGTTTGTCACGGATGGATGTAATTTTATTATTAAAGAAGTGGAGAAAGTCGACACTGCTCAGTGAGCTTGGAATTTTAGGCTCGATTGCGCTATGGCAGTTTGTGAGTTTAGCGACGGTACCAAACAAAAATCTACTGTTGTTTTTATTCGCTTCTATTAAAGTTGAATAGTATTGAGTTCGAGCCCCGCGAAGGGCCTTCTTGTAGTTTCGGAGACCTGCTTTCCACTCCCTGTGGACAGGCTCCGAGTGGGAGTGGCGATATAGCCTCTCCAATTTTCTGACGTCCTGTTTTAAAGTGTGGAGTTGAACACTGTACCAGGGCGACGATGATCTAATCCTAATGGTTTTCTGTTTTAAAGGAGCTGCTGCATTTAATGCAGATTTTAAAGACTCCATAGTGTTGCCCACCGTTTGGTCAATGACTGAGGGACTGCAGCAGCTGTGAACAGGTTCACCTGCAGCAGTATTCAACATAGGCTGTATTAGTTCTTTGAACCTTGTGATAGATTTATCATTTAAGGTTCTTTTCATTATGGTTTTATCTTGCGGGACAGGAAAGTCCTCCAAAGCGAGATCAAACGTGATCAAGAAATGGTCAGACAGCAACGAGCTTTGACGCTGGATGTCAACATTGGAGACATCACAGCCGTAGGTCAGGACAAGGTCCAAGGTGTGGTTATGAATGTGAGTAGGTTCCTCGACATTCTGAGTAAAACCAACACCAAGTAACAAGTGTGAAGCCTCTGCATGTGCTGCTTTTTCATTTATAAAGAAGTTCTCTCAACATAATGGTGGAAAGAGTTCATACACTTAACAGATGAGAAACTCCCTGTAGTGTGTTATAATGTGGTTCTCTCTGGTCACTGTGACTGTAGATTTATTTGGAAAGTCAGAAGTTTTTTTTGACCAATTTATTTTTCCTCTCTTTTCTCTCTTTCTATGGTTTCTCCCTGTGATTTCCATTGTTTCTCTTTTCTTTCCTCCCCCTCTCTCTCTGCTGTCCCCCTGGTGTTTCTCATTTCTCTGTCTTTCTCTCTCTCATACTTCTCTCGCTCTCCCTTGTACCTATTTTTCTCTCTCTGGTGTCTCACTTCTTTCTCTCTCTCTTATCTCTCCCTCTCTGGTGTCTCTCCTCTCTCTCTCCCTCCCTCCTTCATGCCTCTCTCTCTCTCTCTCGTTTCAGTCTCGTATGGTCCGTAACGAGCTCACCTACTTCTTCTGGAGCACACGCAGAGACGCCGTCGAGTGCCACGCACTGCGTAAGGAGCAGATGGTTAACCACTACGAGAAGGCGGCGGCGTTCACCACCAAGGTCCAGCTTCTGTTGTGTCCGAGAGAGAGTTACCTGCATGTTTTGTGTGATTCAATCCAGTTTATTTGTATACAGCCCAAAATCACAACAGCAGTCAGCTCTGAGGACTTTACAAAGTTGTTAATTGATTCTCCACCAACAGATCAGAGAATCAAACAGTTTGAACTCAGGAAATGCAATAATGACAAACATATGTGGAGCTAGTGGTCCATAAGGAGAAGGATGATTATGACTATCCAGAAATGTTAATAAATGTCCATAAATGTAAATGTACCGGAACATCACTGTCCTTAGACAGAAAGTGGCTTAAAAACAGACTTAAAGTCAAAAGGTGGTTTAGGAGTTTTAATAGAGAAAGGTAAAAAAATCACAAAACAAAAGTTAGATGCAAGAACACAAGGAAACAAGACAATATGGCACATGAGGCGGGGACCACATAAACTAAGCACACAAGGACAAAGGTGAGACACATCAAGGGCGGGGCAGTCGTCAGGGACAGGAAGTAAACTAAAAACAAGGACAAGGAAAGTGAATACAAAATAAAACACAACAGGACTCCTTTATACTTAGAATAATATTTCACCTTCTAAAACATGAAATGACAAAGTAAATAGTAAATGTAGCAAAAATATGAAAATCAAGTTTTATTTGGTTACATTTTAAATACTATGGCTTTGAAAACCCATAGTAACCAAGTTCACATTGTCATCCAGCCAACTGCAGACATGTTATACCTCATTTTAAAGCTCAGAACAGCACTAATCCAGTCAGCGTTGCTGTCGTCTGCCCCTAGACAATTTTGGCTGAACTAAAGTGGCTCTGCAGGTGGGTCTGAGCGTGAGCCTCAGGAGCCTGCAGTGGTTCGACTCCGCGGATCCAGACACCTTCTTCCCCCGAAGTTACGTCCTGGGAGCCGAGGACGACAAGCACGCCTTTATAGGTCTGTCAGAATGATTATTTAAAGCAGGGGTTCCTGACTTTTCTTGTTGTGGAATAATTCATTTTGTTTGCCCCAACAGAAGAGTCTTGTAAAAGTAAAATGTTGTGGATAATACTAATAATGCATTGGTTTTATACAACGACTTTCAGGACACTCAAAGAGGCGTCACATGTCATTATTCTCTCATGCAATACACGGTTGTGATAAACTACTACTGTAGCCACAGCTGCCCTGGGGCACACTGACAAAAGCTAAGCAACCAGTCTGTGTTGTCAGTCACACACCAGACTCACTCTAGACAATGTTAAGCGTCTTGACTAAGGACACAACCACAATTTGGCAATTTATAGCTGCAGATTCACCACTCTGGCACCTGGTGTTCACATACGTCTCCCATCACAGTACTAACCAAGCCCTCCCCTGCTTAGCTTCAGAGGTCTGATTGGATCTGGCTTTTACCTGCAGGTGGCGCCTCAAATCGGTCCACAACATGCTGCCCTCAGCAGCATGTTATATTTTGTGCACAACAGACCCCTGTGAGTCACTATTTGGGCTGAGAGCTGATTGGCTGAGTGAGGGTGGTCCTCTCTTTTTCACTTTTCTCTCTGAAAAAAGCTGATCTAAAGAGGTGACAGAGGCCAAAAACAGATTCATGTGAAATTTTGTGATAAAACCAGAGTGAGGGACTCGGACTTCATACTAAATATCCATTTTTGGTGCTTTGAAAGTTAGGTTCCCCAGCTTTAATGTATACTTCAATATGTCCTCAACTTAAAGAGCAGAGAAGCGTTGACAGTTGTGTGTTTGCAGAGGACTTCCGGAGGACGGCCTGCACCAGTCTGCTGCAGCATGTGGTGGAGAGCCAGAACTCGGAACCCCCCAGGACCCGTGAGTTCCATCCAAATGCATGTCATCACATTTTTACAGGGAAAAACATTAAAGCTGGGGTACCTAACTTTCAAACCACATCAAAAACATGTACTACAATCGCTCTAGTCAATAGGATATGACGATATAGTCATGTGGTTAGTAGTTACCATTGCAACCTCTAAGCACAAACCAAAACTCTCCTAAGAAACATCACCTTTATCTTGTTGAACGAATGATTAAACTTTCAGATCTCTCTCTGGTCTCTCTCTGGACTCCCTCTGGTCCCCTTCTGATCTCTCTCTGGTCTCTCTTTATGGTTTTCTGTCTTGCCTCTGTCAGGTCTCCTGGTCTCTCTCTGGACTCTCTCTCCTCTGGTCTCTGTCTAATCTCTCTCTGGTCTCTCCTTTCTCTATAGTCTTCCTCAGATCTTTCTTTCTGGACTCCCTCTGGTCTCTTTGTTATCTCTTTCTGTGTGGTCTCTATGTGTGGTCTCTCTCTCTGTCTGGTCTCTCTCTCTCTCTCTCTCTCTCTCTCTGTCTGGTCTCTCTGTCTGGTCTCTCCGTCTGGTCTCTCTCTCTGGTCTCTCCGTCTGGTCTCTCTCTCTGGTCTCTCTCTCTCTGGTCTCTCTCTCTGGTCTCTCTCTCTCTCTATCTGATCTCTCTGTCTGGTCTCTCTGTCTGGTCTCTCTCTCTGGTCTCTCTCTCTGGTCTCTCTCTCTCTGGTCTCTCTCTCTGGTCTCTCTCTCTCTCTCTCTCTGTCTGATCTCTCTGTCTGGTCTCTCTGTCTGGTCTCTCTCTCTGGTCTCTCTCTCTCTGGTCTCTCTCTCTGGTCTCTCTCTGGTCTCTCTCTGGTCTCTCTCTCTCTGGTCTCTCTCTCTCTGGTCTCTCTCTGTCTGGTCTCTCCCTGGTCTCTTTCTAAACTACTTTCTGGAAAATATGGGACTTATGGCTTAAGTAATGGCTTCATATCGTTTTCAAATGGATCTAACTTAAATTATTATTATTTGATTTAATCCAAACAAAATGACTTTTTAAACACATAGGAAATCGGGAATCGCAATGTTAGTCAAAAATATCTCGATTACGTAATTTGTCAAAATCTTGCCGCCCTTGAAGAAACTCACACCTCGCCTTCTGCTCTGTCCTCTCACAGCAAAAAGTGATGAAAAATGAGTCAAAATTGCTCAAACTTGGCAAAATATATCTTAATTTGAGCAGATTCTGACTACATAAAACAACATTTGCCAATGGGACAAAGCAAAATAATCTGGTTTTTTAAAAGCTATAGAACTGAAATGAAAAAAAAGCCACTTGATTTAAGATTTATAACCTCTTATGTTGTCACTTTTTGCAGCGCTGTCAGACTCCTGCAGCAGCAGCGTGAGCTCTGGGATCATCGAGACGGCTCTGCTCGTGTGCCAAGACTTTCTGATCGATCTGGACCACGGCAACATTGACCGGGCGGCTGAGTCCGAGACCGAGACCAGAGAGGAGCAGCAGTGGGAACACTTCCTTCAGCAGTACCACCTGGTCGTCCAGTGCGTACCATCACTCATATTGCACACATATCCCAAATCGTAAAACATGAAAAACCAAAGTATCGCCTTCCTTTGATTTTCTTTTTTTTGTTGCATATTATTTGACCCGAGTTGCCTTCAAACATTTCACTGAACTAAACCTGGTGCTGCCCCAGCTCATAAAAGATCCATTTACTTTTGGTTTCTCTGGTCCCTTTCTGATCTCTCTCTGTTCTGTCTCTGGTCTCTTTCTGGTCCGTCTCTGGTTCCTCTCTCTTGTCTCTGGTCTCTCTCTGGTCTCTTTCTGCGGTTTATCTTGTCTCTCTCTAGTCTCTTTCTAATCTTTGTCAATGGAACAAGTATCTTTGGTCTCTCTCTGGTCACTCTCTGGTCTCTCTCTGGTCTCTCTCTGGTCTCTCTGGTCTCTCTGGTCTCTCTGGTCTCTCTGGTCTCTCTCTGGTCTCTCTCTGGTCTCTCTCTGGTCTCTCTCTGGTCTCTCTCTGGTCTCTCTCTCTCAGGTCCTGTTCAAACCCGGGTTCAAAACAGTTCTTTACCTGTGCAGACCACTGAACGACTGTATCCTCTCTCTTTTGAATGTACTGTGATTATCTTAATGTCTTGTATGAACGTTTCTATCTTGTTTTGTTAAGCACTTTGAGTTGTGTATGAACTGTGCTATACAAATAAGCTTGCCTTGGCTTCTGTAGAGCAGCTTCATGAGAGGTGTTGTCTGACTCACAGTGACGGAGCAGAGATCCAAGGCTCAGGGCGCTTTGTGGAGCAGTGCGTCCAGATGCTGAGCAGACTGCGGCGCGTCTGTCCACAGCTGCACACGGACGGAGTCAACAACATCTGGATCATCAAACCAGGGGCCAAGTCCAGGGGCCGAGGTGAGACAGCAGGGCAGAGACCAGGGGCCATGTCCAGGGGCCGAGGTGAGACGACAGGGGCAGAGACCAGGGGCCAAGTCCAGGGGCCGAGGTGAGACAACAGGGGCTGAGGTGAGCCAACAGGGGCCTCTGATCTCTCTCTGGTCTCTCTCTGGTCTCGCTCTGATCTCCTACTGGTCTCTCTCTGGTCCAAAAGTGCACAGTTAGTTAGCACTCCAGAAAGTCCTGGGTTCAAATACCAGTCAGAACAGGGTCTTTCTGAATGGAGTTTGCATGTTCTCCCCGTATATACATGTAGGTTTCCTCCGGGTGCTCCAGTTTACCCTATACCGCTAAAAACAGGCACCATAGGTAAAATCCTGCAGCTCTGATATTCGTGAAAGGCCGAGCGTCAACATCTGGAGTTTGGCCCCCAAGTGCTGTACTACAGCGATCCCTGCTCCTGATTGAGGCCCTAGTGGCATCAAGATGGGGATAAATAAACTGCATTACATTATAAAACTGTGACTGTGTGAATAGATCCCTGGTCCTGGTTCAGAAGAATGGACACTATTTGAACAAAAAAAGCTTTTTATTGTTTTTATTTCACATAGTCACAAGACATTAAATTTTTGTGACTATCTTTGTGGCACTTCCCAAAAATCTCTACCAAGCTCTAGATTCAGATTCATTTTATTTTACCAATTGCAGTAAAACCACATTGGCATACATTTGCAAAAGTCCTCTGTGTAGGAGGAATAAAACAAGCTAAAAAGTGCAAGAAACAATTGTCACAAAACTGCATAGGTTTCCTCCGGGTGCTCCGGTTTCCCCTACCACAAAAAATATGTACAATAGTTCTGGCCTGCGCCTACTGTACTGGCGACCTCGCTCCCATCTCTGTGTGGAGTGAGTGACCAATGCCCACAACTATTGTAAAGTGCTTTGTGACTCTGGTCTGTGAATGGCGCTATACAGTGCCTTGCGAAAGTATTCGGCCCCCTTGATTTCGCCACATTTCAGGCTTCAAACATAAAGATATAAAAATTTAATTTTTTGTAAAGAATCAACAAGTGGGACACAATCGTGAAGTGGAACGAAATTTCTTGGATAATTTAAACTTTTTTAACAAATAAAAAACTGAAAAGTGGGGCGTACAATATTATTCGGCCCCCTTGCGCTAATACTTTTAGCGCAAGGGGGCTTTCTAGCGCCACCTTTTGCTGCAATTACAGCTGCAAGTCGCTTGGGGTATGTCTCTATCAGTTTTGCACATCGAGAGACTGGAATTCTTTCCCATTCTTCCTTGCAAACGAGCTTGAGCTCAGTGAGGTTGGATGGAGAGCGTTTGTGAACAGCAGTCTTCAGCTCTTTCCACTGATTCTCGATTGGATTCAGGTCTGGACTTTGACTTGGCCATTCTAACACCTGGATACGTCTATTTGTGAACCATTCCATTGTAGATATGGCTTTATGTTTTGGATCATTGTCCTGTTGGAAGATAGATCTCCGTCCCAGTCTCAGGTCTTTTGCAGACTCCAACAGGTTTTCTTCCAGAATGGTCCTGTATTTGGCTCCATCCATCTTCCCATCTATTTTAGCCATCTTCCCTGTCCCTGCTGAAGAAAAGCAGGCCCAAAGCATGATGCTGCCACCACCATGTTTGACAGTGGGGATGGTGTGTTCAGGGTGATGAGCTGTGTTGCTTTTACGCCAAACATATCGTTTTGCATTGTGGCCAAAAAGTTCGATTTTGGTTTCATCTGACCAGAGCACCTTCTTCCACATGTTTGGTGTGTCTCCCAGGTGGCTTGTGGCAAACTTTAAACAAGACTTTTTATGGATATCTTTGAGAAATGGCTTTCTTCTTGCCACTCTTCCATAAAGGCCAGATTTGTGCAGTGCATGACTGATTGTTGTCCTATGGACAGACTCTCCCCCCTCAGCTGTAGTTTTCTGCAGTTCATCCAGAGTGATCATGGGCCTCTTGGCTGCATCTCTGATCAGTCTTCTCCTTGTTTGAGATGAAAGTTTGGAGGGACGGCCGGGTCTTGGTAGATTTGCAGTGGTCTGATACTCCTTCCATTTCAATATAATTGCTTTCACAGTGCTCCTTGAGCTGTTTAAAGCTTGGGAAATCTTTTTATATCCAAATCTGGCTTTAAACTTCTCCACAACAGTATCTCGGACCTGCCTGGTGTGTTCCTTTGTCTTCATGGTTCTCTCTGCGCTTTAAACAGAACCCTGAGACTATCAAAGAGCAGGTGCATTTATACGGAGACTTGATTACACACAGGTGCATTCTATTTATCATCATCAGTCATTTAGGACAACATTGGATCATTCAAAGATCCTCACTGAACTTCTGGACTGAGTTTGCTGCACTGAAAGTAAAGGGGCCGAATAATATTGCACGCCCCACTTTTCAGTTTTTTATTTGTTAAAAAAGTTGAAATTATCCAATAAATTTCATTCCACTTCACGTTTGTGTTTGTGTTGTTGATTCATGACAAAAAATAAAATTTTATATCTTTATGTTTGAAGCCTGAAATGTGGCAAAATGTTGAAAGGTTCAAGGGGGCCGAATACTTCCGCAAGGCACTGTATAAATAAATATTACTTACTTAAACCTTGCTCTTTCTCCCATGTCTGAGTAAAGTGAGGTTCCTCTGGTCTCAGGGATCATCTGTCTGAACCGTCTGGACGACATCCTGGTTCTGGTGGAGCAGGAGCGCGCGGTGCTCCGGGACAGCCGCTGGGTGGTGCAGAAGTACCTGGAGCGCCCTCTGCTGGTGCACGGCTGTAAGTTCGACGTGCGGCAGTGGTTCCTGGTGACGGACTGGAACCCTCTGACGGTGTGGTTCTACGGAGAGTGTTACCTGCGCTTCAGCACTCAGCCGTACTCCACCAAGAACCTGCACAGGTCTCCTCACGCACGCCAACCCAGGATTTAGAAATCTTCTGATTCTAAAGACTGTGATGTTATTGTGTCTTTCCATTCAATTAAATTTTCTTTATTTATAAAATTTCCACAAGTCATACACATACTAATCTTTAAGGTTTGTAGGTGCATTAGCTTATATATTATTAAACATTTTGCCCATTCACACATCCTTACAGTTTAAATTTGTAACTTTCAGATCATTTTTGGGTAGTTGGTCATACACACAGTAATGTCACTTTTGAAACACGTATGTCCTACACATACAGTATGCTACAAAATGAATTACACAAGTTACGGTAAACAATTCATAATTTATCTCAAGATTGTGCAACTGTTTTTTGTGGCTTCAGATTTCTCTATCTGGTCTCTTGCTGATCTCCCTCTGGTCTAGCGCTGGTCTCCCTCTGGTCACTCTCTGGTCTCTCTCTGGCCTCCCTCTGGTCTCCCTCTGGTGTCCCTCTGGTCTCCCTCTGGTCTCCCTCTGGACTCCCTCTGGAGTTCATGGTGTTGTATTAAGTAGGAACTCTGTCTCCACAGCTCGGTGCACCTGTGCAACAACTCCATCCAGAAGCACTTCCAGCCGTCCCCGGACAGGCACCCGGAGCTACCCAAGGACAACATGTGGTCGTGTGGGCAGTTCCGGAGCTTCCTGCGGGGTCAGAACCGCGAGGAGCAGTGGGAGGCGGTGGTGGTGCCGGGGATGAAGCAGGCGCTGGTGCGTGCGCTGCAGACCGCACAGGACTCAGTGGTGCAGCGCAAAAACAGTTTTGAGCTTTACGGAGCCGACTTCATGCTGGGGCAGGACCTGAGGCCGTGGCTCCTGGAGATCAACTCTAGCCCCACCATGAGCTGCAGCACGGAAGTGACGGCGCGCCTCTGCCCTGCCGTGCAGGCCGACACACTGCGGGTGGTGCTGGACCGAAGGAACAACCTCCATGCACACACCGGCGGCTTTACTCTCATCTACAAACAGGTAGAACACAAGCTGCTGTGTGTTAATGTGTCGCCTGGGGCGTCATCTGCAGGCTGGGGTGAAAATTGCAGTCTTAAAAAAATTGTTTTTGAAAAAAGTTTCCTTTTTTTATTATTCTGCTAAGGGCACGGTCACATAGGTTTTACAAACAAACTAGGCCAAGTGGCCCGGATCGTCGCCACAGGGGTGTGATGCATGGCACGCGGTCACAAGAACGTGTTTTTGCAAACGTGCCTGAGTAACTGTGCTGTAGTACCTCGCTCGGTCCAGCCGCTAATACTAACTCCAGCAACGACCTCTTTGTCCTGGTTTAGTTTCCGTTGCTCTTCCTGTTTACATTCTGCTACTGTAGCTAACAGCTCGAGTACGGATCGCGTTGTTTAGGGAAAGACACATCTCACACTTGTCCACATTGCTCTGATGCAAAGTGCAGCAGTTCAGTGGGTAACATATGTGTGCACACGGGTGTGTGTGTGTGTGTGTGTGCACATGCCACGGACACGTGACCTGTGTGTTGCTGTGTTCTGGCGATTAAATAAAGACTTATTCTTGAATGTCTGAAGTGTTGTTGCAATAGCACCACACTGTGAGAGCGAGGGTCAGAACAGAGGGAGTTATTCCTGTAGGAAACGCTTTTCTTCGGGCCTGGAGCGACACACTCCCCTGCGCCCCTCGACCACGGTCCGGGGCCTTATATGAAAGGTTTAACAAAAGCGGAGAATGCGAAAGTGCAGGAGAGACGTGTGTGAAAAGGCGTGTCACAACGGAAGTCGTAATGTGACGCACAATATCAAATCCCCACCACACCTCATTCCCCACTCTCCACCACCCGCCACACTGACCCCCCTCATCTGGACTTTACAAAGCGGGCCCTGGCCCAAGTCTTCAAGCGTGCTTGGGCGCGGTTGGGGCTATGGTGCCCAAGCCCAGTTGCCGCGGTCACTAAAGCCTGGATCTAATTGCGAAGTGGGCCCTGGCCCACTTAAATCGGGCTTTAGGCTGTGCATGTGACCGCAGCCTAAGTGTTTCCCACACGGGTGTGTGTGTGTGTGTGTGTGCACATGCCACGGACACGTGACCTGTGTGTTGCTGTGTTCTGGCGATTAAATAAAGACTTATTCTTGAATGTCTGAAGTGTTGTTGCAATAGCACCACACTGTGAGAGCGAGGGTCAGAACAGAGGGAGTTATTCCTGTAGGAAACGCTTTTCTTCGGGCCTGGAGCGACACACTCCCCTGCGCCCCTCGACCACGGTCCGGGGCCTTATATGAAAGGTTTAACAAAAGCGGAGAATGCGAAAGTGCAGGAGAGACGTGTGTGAAAAGGCGTGTCACAACGGAAGTCGTAATGTGACGCACAATATCAAATCCCCACCACACCTCATTCCCCACTCTCCACCACCCGCCACACTGACCCCCCTCATCTGGACTTTACAAAGCGGGCCCTGGCCCAAGTCTTCAAGCGTGCTTGGGCGCGGTTGGGGCTATGGTGCCCAAGCCCAGTTGCCGCGGTCACTAAAGCCTGGATCTAATTGCGAAGTGGGCCCTGGCCCACTTAAATCGGGCTTTAGGCTGTGCATGTGACCGCAGCCTAAGTGTTTCCCATCACTAAAAAAAATAAAACAATTTATCTATACTATAAAGCGCAATGCATTAAAATTCTGATACAGTAATATTGTAGTGTAATCATTGACTGTAAATATGAATTATTAACAGTGATAAAAATACATAGTGTATTACGGTATTGAAGACTGATTAACAGCGGGTGGCCCTTTTGGCTGTTTCTTACGTAAAAGTGGAAAGAGAAGCCGCGGGAATGAGCCGCCAAAATGCACATTTTAAACTTAATTGTTTTTAAATCTGAAAGAGGTTTGCGACTACTGTCACTGCACATTGTGATGCACTAAACTGTGTGTGTGTGTCCTATAGCTGCCATGTGTTTTGTTTGTGCTGTCGTGTATTGCTTCTTATATTTTATATTTATATTATATTTAGTTTGTTATCTTTGTATTCTATTGTTCTGTGAATAATTGTATTGTATATATATATATATACACAATCAATTATTCATAGAACAATAGAATCAAATGGACAAATCACAAAAATACAATCAATATATTGATTGTATTGATTTTGTGCATGTTCGAAATAAATGAATGAATAATGTTGGCATGTCATGTTTGGAGAGTCTTACATCATGAGGCCCTTACTGTATCATACTGTGTCATAAAGTAAATAACTAAAATAAATAAACATGTTTCTGTCTCAGGCTGCAGTGGAGCGGCCGCAGTACGTGGGGATGAACCTTCTCATCGAGGGCGCTCCCATCAGACGTCACAGGCCTCAGCTCAAGCCCCCTGCCCCAGCCCAGTCTCCCGATGCCCCTGAGTCTGCCCCAGTCCTGCCTCCCCCTACCGCTGCCTCAGCCACCTTTCCCGATGCCCCAGCCTCAGCCCAGTCGCCCCCCACCTCTGCCTCAGCCCCGTCCTGTCCAAGGGAGCCCCAGATCACCCACAACCCAGCGGTGCTCAAGGCCCACACCCTGGCTGTCATGATCCAGTCCAACAAAGAGAACCAGTCGGAGAAGAGAAGGAAGAAACTGAGCCGGAGCGGAGGACCCGAGAGGAGAGCCGCTGCTAAGGTCAAATAAAACATCCATCCATGGAAAGAACACATATGCCAGTTCTTTATCTTCATTTTGTCTCTAAAACATGATCTTGTGAATATTCACTCTGGCGTTTCACATTTGAAATCTCTGAGCAAAACCCCCAGGTCTCCTCTTCCTGTCACTGAGCTGCACGGGTTGGTGTGTCACAACAACACATTGTTTAACCCACCCCACGAACTAGTGTTAACATCTCTCACCAAATATAGTGGTAATTTAGACAAAATTAATCCAAACTGTTTTCCTGCCCGTTGAATACTTTGCATAATTACAGCGTAACGAGCTGTGATTGGGTGAATTAAGCTCTTACCATGAGAGTTTTGATTTTTGCACACATGTGTGTGTGTGTGCGTGTGTGTGTAGGCTTTTTATTACATCTTATTGCATTTTTTTTGTGTAACCATAGACTGCAGGTGGACACTAGATGTCTAGTGATATACTGTGTCTGCGTGATTAAACAATTAGACCCATCAGACGCATGATGAGGTATAAATATATATATATTAATACAGTGCCTTGCGAAAGTATTCGGCCCCCTTGAACCTTTCAACATGTCGCCACATTTCAGGCTTCAAACATAAAGATATAACTTTGTGTAAGCTCTCAGTCGTACAGGGATTAGTCAAAGCAAAGGAAGGTTTCTCACCCATCATCTGTACTTCTTAGCAAGTTTTCCCGACGTTTCGTCCTCAACCTAGCGGACTTCTTCAGGGAATGAATTCTCGGACCGCGCGTTGGAGATTTATAACCTATGGGTGTGGTTAGCCACACCCTAATCCTGATACTAACTCATAAACAATCTAAGGTCTGCTTGATGTAGAAGGGAGCAGATCTAACGACCCTGCTGAGGCTAACGACCCTAACTCCTTAGCATGTCACAGACCTATTGTCTGCTGGGATGCTCAAGTGGAGTGCAGGTTTCACCCCTCCTAACTCATTAGCATGTCACTGACCTTGTCCCAAGTTAGGGCGTTGTTTTTAGGATGTCGTCATAGATGCGAGGCAAAACAAATCTTAACCCTCCTCCTCTGTTAAGAGAAGGTTTTTGTTTCCTCACAAAAATGGCTTCTTTGACCCCTCTCTCAAACCAATTCTTCTCCCGAGCCAGAATTTTAACCTCTGTGTCATCCGTGTGGTTGGAGGTCTTGAGGTGGAGATGAACAGCCGACTGTGGCCCACTAGAGTTTTCTCTACGATGTTGGTAAAGTTGTTTCTGTAGAGTTCGTTTAGTTTCTCCAATATAGTGGTCAGTGCACTCCTCTTCACTACATTTAATTGAATACACCACATTGCTCTGTTTGTGTCTGGGTGTTTTGTCTTTGGGATGCACTAATTTCTGTCTTAACGTGTTGAAAGGTTTGAAATACACAGGGATTTTGTGTTGCCTAAAGATTCTTTGTAGTTTCTCTGAAACTCCCGCCACATACGGTAAGGACACGCCTCTCCTCCTACTTTCTTCTGTCTGTTGGACTGTTTCTCTGGCCTTTCTCGTCCTTTGGGCTTTAGTAAAAGACCACTTGGGGTAGCCACATCTGGAAAGTGCTCTCTGAACATGTTTGGTTTCTCTGTTCTTTCCCTCCGAGCTTGTGGGGACCTGGTGGGCTCGGTGTTGAAGCGTTCTAATGACACCGAGTTTGTGTTGTAGCGGATGATTTGAATCAAAGGCCAGGTATTGGTCAGTGTGAGTGGACTTTCTGAAGACCTCAGTCTCTAATTGTCCGTTCTCCAGTATGATGACCTTACAATCTAGAAAGGCGAGTTCACTCTCCTTAGCATCCTCGCGAGTGAAATTTATAAAAGGGTCCACCGAATTAATGTGTTCTGAAAATGGTTCCACTTCCTGTTTCTTTAACTTAACCCATGTATCGTCTACATATCGAAACCAATGGCTTGGCGCTGTCCCTTGGTACGAGCCCAGGGCTTGTTCCTCCAGTTTCTCCATATACAGATTGGCCACTATAGGAGAGACTGGGGAGCCCATCGCACAGCCATGAATCTGTCTAAAGAAGGTGCCTCTAAATTGGAAATACGTGGTGTTAAGACACATTTCAAGTATTTCACAGATGTGGTCAGCTGTTAGTTTCGTTCTCTCCCCTAGTGTGGCGTCTTTCTGTAGGCTTTCTCTTACAGCCTGCACCGCCTCTGTAATAGGGACCGACGTAAAAAGCGATGTCACATCAAACGAGACCATTGTCTCATCTGTGTCAAACTGGAGGTGTTTGATTTTATTTACAAATTGTTTTGTGTTTTCTATGTGATGGTGGGTGTTACCCACCAAAGGAGCCAGAATGGTTTTGAGGTGTTTAGCCAGGTTGTAGGTGATAGAGTCTATGCTACATACAATAGGCCGAAGTGGAAAGTTTTGTTTGTGTATTTTTGGGAGTCCATAAATACTGGGAATGGTGTCTCCTGGGTAAAGTTTGTAATATAGTAGTTTTTCAATAATGCCCTCTTTCACTAAGCTCTGAAGGAAGTCTATAACCTTTTCCCTAAACCCACTGGTAGGGTCCCTCTTCAATGGCTGGTACGTGTTGGTGTCTAAGAGTAACTGATTAACTTTGGCCTCATAGTCTGAGCTGTTGAGGATAACTGTGTTATAAAGATATAACATTTTAATTTTTTGTCATGAATCAACAACAAGTGGGACACAATCGTGAAGTGGAACAAAATTTATTGGATGATTTAAACTTTTTTAACAAATAATAAACTGAAAAGTTGGGCGTGCAATATTATTCGGCCCCTTTACTTTCAGTGCAGCAAACTCAGTCCAGAAGTTCAGTGAGGACCTTTGAATGATCCAATGTTGTCCTAAATGACTGATGATGATAAATAGAATGCACTTGTGTGTAATCAAGTCTCCGTATAAATGCACCTGCTCTTTGATAGTCTCAAGGTTCTGTTTAAAGCGCAGAGAGAACCATGAAGACAAAGGAACTTTGTCTTCATGGTCCGAGATACTGTTGTGGAGAAGTTTAAAGCCGGATTTGGATTCAAAAAGATTTCCCAAGCTTTAAACATCTCAAGGCGCACTGTGCAAGCATCCATCCATCCATCCATTCTCTACCCTTTAATCCATTTCTGGGTCAGGGGGGTGGCAATCAGAGATGCCACCCAAGTCTCATAGCACCAGCCCCTCACTGATCCTCTGCAGGTGGTGAATCCACAGGAGGACGGCTGCTCTCTGAGTGTGAGCATAGCCTTGATCTTTCAGTGGGGGCTTTGGGCAAAGTGGGGTTAAGTGTCTTGCCCAAGGACACAACGACAGCAGTCATCAGTGGGAGTCGGTGGAGAAGGTGGGAATTGAACCCACGACCTTCTGGCCTTAAGGCCAGTGCTCTACCAACTGAGCTACTGAGCTACTGTACTGTGAAAGCAATTACATTGAAATGGAAGGAGTATCAGACCACTGCAAATCTACCAAGACCCGGCCGTCCCTCCAAACTTTCATCTCAAACAAGGAGAAGACTGATCAGAGATGCAGCCAAGAGGCCCATGATCACTCTGGATGAACTGCAGATAACTACAGCTGAGGTGGGAGAGTCTGTCCATAGGACAACAATCAGTCGTGCACTGCACAAATCTGGCCTTTATGGAAGAGTGGCAAGAAGAAAGCCATTTCTCAAAGATATCCATAAAAAGTCTTGTTTAAAGTTTGCCACAAGCCACCTGGGAGACACACCAAACATGTGGAAGAAGGTGCTCTGGTCAGATGAAACCAAAATTGAACTTTTTGGCCACAATGCAAAACGATATGTTTGGCGTAAAAGCAACACAGCTCCTCACCCTGAACACACCATCCCCACTGTCAAACATGGTGGTGGCAGCATCATGGTTTGGGCCTGCTTTTCTTCAGCAGGGACAGGGAAGATGGCTAAAATTGATGGGAAGATGGATAGAGCCAAATAAAGGACCATTCTGGAAGAAAACCTGTTGGAGTCTAGCCTGACTCTCGCCAGACCCGCTGCACTTCGCTGCACTTCACACATGAGTCTGGTACTGGTTGGATTTCAGAAGGCAGGGCCTTGTAAAAAAAATCCTTGTATGTGATTGGATAGACCACTTGTCCGTTATCTTGAATGAAGTCTGCTTTCAACCACTCACATCGAAGCACACGGCTCCCATAGGTTGCCAAATCCCAGCAAGATTTTCCAACCCAAAATCCGCGAGAATACCCACACAAAAAAAACACTCAGAATGATTTTTTTGGCTAAAAACTTAATGTAATCAACTTGGGCTATCATGATTCTGTTTATTGTCTTTTTGTTTATTTAATACCTACAAGTCTCTTAGAAAAAAATATGCGGGAACCACCCAACCTGGCAACCCTGCTGCATAGTGTGTAAACAGGAACACCGAACCAGTGCTTCAACTAAACTTTACAGGAACATTTGACTCTTAAAACACACATATAACAACATAGAACCATCAACATCTCGCCTCAAATTGCATTAAAAGTGACATCCGTGTCTTAATTCGATCGTATCTACTCTTTTAAAAAGATTTGCGGACTTTACGTCCGCCATCTTGGATTCCTCTCGCTGCTGCATGAGAGAAGCTTGAGAAGGCAGTGCAAACCCCACTTAACACCGGCAATCCTGATTGGTCGATTAAAAAATAATCTGGGGAAGGCGTTCGCTATATCCTGGTTGTACCACACCTTAGTACAAATTTCATTTCATACTAAGGTCTGGATTTGCTCCATTGAGCTCCGTGAACAGGTGGGAGGGGTTAACTCCTTTTGCAGATTGAAACAATTGGATCTGAGTTTACCGTGACGTATGTAATGCGCCCGAGTGAGTTGTTTGCATTAGCATTTAGCCTAGCCATCTCCTTTGCCACTAACGAAGCCCGTGGGGAGTAGCGCCACAATCTTGACCAGCGATTAAATTTGCTAAACATTCCTCTTGCTCCTGCTTCAATTTCTTGATAGAACCAGACCGGATGACTTTATTATCGCATTCTTCGCCACTGCCAAACTACAACCTGCCCGTTCGGCGCAAACTCTTGACGTTACCGGCACCGACCTACAACGCGCTTTCTGAGTAGCCGGTCGAAATACGACCGATTGTAATCGCTAAAACAGACCCAGACGCTACATGCAGTGAAATGATGATTGAGCGGAGTGTACGGATGGCTAAGGCCAGGCTACGTTCGCTATGGCGTCGATACCAGACCCATGTGGTTCAGCCAAACGCCTCTGGTGGAGCATGGCGGAACTACAAGGGTCTGGCATAGCCAGGCTAGTCTGCAAAAGACCTGAGACTGGGACGGAGATTTATCTTCCAACAGGACAATGATCCAAAACATAAAGCCAAATCTACAATGGAATGGTTCACAAATAGACGTATCCAGGTGTTAGAATGGCCAAGTCAAAGTCCAGACCTGAATCCAATCGAGAATCTGTGGAAAGAGCTGAAGACTGCTGTTCACAAACGCTCTCCATCCAACCTCACTGAGCTCGAGCTGTTTTGCAAGGAAGAATTTTTAAAGGAATAGTTCACCGTTTTTACATACTGACATATGTTCTCACCTTAGACTAGTTAATACGTACCTGTCTGGTCTTAGTCCGTGCGCTCTGTCATGCAAACGGAGCAAAAACGGGAGCACAAACGCAGCCTCCTCTGTATATTGTATAGGACCCAAAAGGTAGCTCCCGCTAGAAGCTACCAAACTCTTCCAAGTGTTCCCTATTAAATGTATACAGTTACGTGACGTGTTACACTGCAAAGTATAGTAACACAGAAATGTAACAGTCGATTTTCTCAGCGGATAAAACGGGTACTATATTGTGAGGCGTAGTAATCTGAGGAGCGCTACGTCCGCGCACTAACTTCTCTCCGTACTACAAGTCACGCTGCTTCTATTGACGGAAGTGAGTGAGAGAGAAGTGTGTGTGTGTGTGTGTGTGTGTGTGTGTTGGGTCGGCGGGATTGTTTTAACCAAACTGTAAAGCACTTTGTGTTGCATATTTTGTATGAAAAGCGCTTGCCTGTAATGTTGAAAGGTTCAAGGGGGGCGAATACTTTCGCAAGACACTGTATGTCCATTAAGGTTTGGAGATTAGACCCTGGCAGAAAGCACCAGAGGTTTAGTACCTGGTAGTGAAGGAAGCTGAGTCGATAACATGGCAATTCTCTACTGAAGAGGCAGTGATGGGGGGGAGGAGGAGGGCTGCTGCATGAACAGCAGCTTGATGCAGTATTGAGAGGCTCGGTTTGAATGCAGCCGTGAAGTGATTATGATTAAAGATGACTTACTTATTTACTTCTCTCCAGCTGGCCCACCACCGCTGCATGGTTCCCCCAGAGCTGCCCCTCATCACCCACGCGGAGCCCCAGAGGAAGGCCCGTCGTGTGGGCTACAGCTCGTCCACTGCGCCCCTTGTCCCGCGGAGCCTGTCCTTCTCCTGCAGCCCTACAAACACAACTACTGCTGCTGCTGTTGCCGCTCCCCAGACCAGAGGAGCCCACGTGAACCCGGGCCTCTGCTTCAGCCTCCCGCACACACAGCCACAGCGGGCCGCCCTGGTGCTCCCCTCCATACGGGTCATCAGCCTCAGAGCACAGAGCCACAAGTGTCGCTCCAGCGCGCTCACAAAACAGCTGTTTCTGCTTCCATTGGAGCAAAGTAAGTGAAGGCAAGGCAAGTTTATTTGTATCGCACAGTTCATACACAAGGCATCTCAAAGTGCCTGACAAAGCAAGACAGAAACAACCACACAAGGCATTCAAATGATAAACAATCACAGTGCACTCAGAAGAGTGAAGATACAATCCTTCAGGTGTATGCACAGCTAAAAGACCTGGATTTGAACATTGTCAGAGTAGAAGCCTGCCTCACATTTTCAGGAGGACGGCTCCAGATTTTAGCAGCATAAATGTGAAATGCACCAGCAGGAGGCCAGTCCCTGTGCTCCTCAGACTTCCAGCAGGAGGCCAGTCCCTGTGCTCCTCAGACTTCCAGCAGGAGGCCAGTCCCTGTGCTCCTCAGACTTCCAGCAGGAGGCCAGTAAAAGTGACATGGAGTGATATCATTGTGAGAATAAAATGCCAAATTTGTTAAAATACTTCCATTTGTTGACGCTTGAAAAATGTCTGTTCTTTCTGCTCCGTTTTCTACTGTGTTATAATTCCGCTTGCCATAAAATGGCAGCACTTTAAAGCTGGGGAACCTAACCTTCGATTAATTTGTTGGTCTGATGCTGTCTTCATCTTACAAGAAAGAGTAAGAAAGAGCCCTATGAGTCACTATTTGCCTCTTGGGCTGAAAGCTGATTGGCTGAGAGGGTGGTCCTCTATCTCACTTTTCTGTCTGTAAACCTGATCAAAAGATGTGACAGAATCCAAAAATACAAGCATGTGACAACAAGTGATAGAAGCAAACTATTTACAATTTTTTGTGGTTTGAAAGTTAAGTATCTCAGCTTTAATAGAATATGATCTGATAAAAAACAATTATAGAAAAGTAGATTTAATGGAAATGAATAGACAATGACCTGGAAAACCACAATTATGGATTAACCTGATAATCCCTCATCTCTTGGGATTTGGGATCATAGCCAAATATGTATATTGTTATCACGTTGTCAGGGAAACCGTTTGTGTTTAAATAATTGTTAATTTAGTCGATCATGTGACAAGGTGTGTTTTGGGGGTTTTCTGTTACTAGAATGGTACGGACAAATTGAGTTGATTTAAATTACACATTTGCTTTTATTAATGGAGTGAATTTCAGTAAAAAGCTGTGAATCTAGTGCTGTCATACTGTTCAATGAACATGTAATAAAAACATCTGAAGAAAATACAGCCATCTTTGAACAGGCTTTTACTTCCATCACACACACTCACACACACGGGATGATTTACTACCACAAAGTAATAAACACACACACAGACACATACACAAAAACATACACACAGACAAACACACACCCAGACACACAAATAATTTACTATCACAACGTAATAAACAGTCCAGGGTCACTGTCAAAGTGGTTTGCTCAGGATCCATGGTCAGGGATGAGTAGGGTGAGGGTAGGACTACGGTTAGGATTAGGGCCATGATATGGTAAAGGTCTGGGTCCAGGATCAACTTGGAACAGAGATCCTGGACTGTTGATTACCTGTGATGACACACACACACACGCACGCACGCACACGCACGCGCACAGGGTGCGGCCTGGCCCCTCCCTCTGCTCTCATAAGTTTCGTTTCTGTCTCAGTGAAACTTGTTGCAGCGATGGCGCAGACAGAGCAGCTCTTGTGTCCTGTGTGTTTGGATTTACTGCAGACTCCGGTCTCTCTTCACTGTGGACACAGCTACTGCCTGAAGTGTGTCCAGGACCACTGGGACAAAGAGGAGGAGCAGCGGCTCTACACCTGTCCCGTGTGCCGTGTGAGCTTCAGCCCGAGGCCTGTGCTGAGTAAGAACATCATGTTAGCAGCTGTAGTGGAGCAGAGGAGCACAGCGCCCCCTGCTGACCTCTGTGGGCCTCAGGACGTGTCCTGTGACGTCTGCACTGGGGCCAAGCTGAGAGCGGTCCAGTCCTGTCTGCAGTGTGTGGTCTCCTACTGTGAGCGCCACCTACAGCCTCATTATGAGTCTGCAGCCTTTAGCAAACACCAGCTGGTGGCGCCATCGCACACGCTCCAGGAAAACATGTGTTCTGAGCACAACGAGCTGAAGAAGATGTTCTGTCGCACTGACGGACAGCTCCTGTGTGTGCTCTGCTGTCTGGAGGAACACAAGGAGCACCAGACTGTGTCCTCAGCCTCAGAGAGGGCCCAGAGGCAGGCACAGCTGGGGCCCCAGAGAGACCTGCTCCTCCAGAACGTCCAGCACAAAGACACAGAGCTGAGCTCACTGCAGCAGCAGGAGAAGGACATCAGGAGCTCTGCCCACACAGCACTGCAGCTCAGCAGGGACAGCTTCAGAGACATGATCCTTCTCCTGGAGACAAGAGCCAAAGAAGTGGAGCAGCAGATCCAGTCTCTGGAGGAGAGCGGACTGAGCCGAGTCCGAGAGATCCAAGACCAAGTCCAGAAGGAGCTGAGTGAGCTGAAGAAGAGCCTCTGTGACCTGGACACACTGTCCCTCACCAAAGACCACAACACCTTCATACAGCTGCACACTGCACTGGCCTCACACGCACAGGGGCCAGTCCCAGCCAGGGGCCACACAGAGGGGCCAGTCCCAGTCAGGGGCCACACAGAGGCCAGGAGCCCCTTTAAGGCAGTGACCAGAGCTGTGTCCGAGCTCAGGGAGAGACTGCAGCTCACTGTGGAGGAGGGACGCAGCAGCATCTCTCTGGCTCTGAGTCCAGTTCAGCTTTTAAGGACCGAACCCAAGACCAGAGACGAGTTCTTACAATATTCTACAGACTTCACTCTGGACATAAACACAGCTCACTCCCATCTGTCTCTGTCTGATGGAAACAGAAGAGCGACATTTAAAAGGAAACAACAGAAGTATCCGGATCATCAGGACCGGTTCAGTGTGTGTTGTCAGGTTCTGAGCAGAGAGAGTGTGAAGAGTCGCTGTTACTGGGAAGAGGAGTGGAGCTCAGAGAGGACTGTTGTCATCGCAGTTTCTTACAGAGATATTCAGAGGAAAGGAGCCTACGGTGAATGTGGATTAGGATTCAATAATAAATCCTGGGCCTTGTTCTGTGACAAAACCAATCCTTATTTTATGTTTAACTCAGTCCAGTCCCAGGTCTCAGGTCCGGTCGGGTCCAGAGTGGGGGTTTTCCTGGACCACAGTGCAGGGGTCTTGTCCTTTTACGACGTCTCTGCAAACATGAGGCTGATCCACAGAGAGGAGGCGGCCTTCTCTCAGCCGCTTCACGCTGGACTCTGGTTTTATTATCGTTCTTTTGGAGACTCTGCACATTTCCCTAAACTCAAATAGTTTGGGATCAACTTTGTTCCCTTAGAAAAATAATTAATACATTTTCAATTTATTTTTCTACAGCTCTAGATCACAACAGCAGTCGTCTCAGAGGACTTTACAAATAAGTTTTCAATTCACCAACAATACATCAGAGAATTAAAAAGTTCTAACACAGGAATTGGGATAATAACAAACACAGGAGTCATGGTCCGTTGGAGAAGGATCACCACTGTCCAGAAACATACAGGGTCACTACTGTCCAGAAACATACAGGATCACCACTGTCCAGAAACATACAGGGTCACTACTGTCCAGAAACATACAGGGTCACTACTGTCCAGAAACATACAGGGTCACCACTGTCCAGAAACATACAGGGTCACCACTGTCCAGAAACATACAGGATCACCACTGTCCAGAAACATACAGGGTCACTACTGTCCAGAAACATACAGGGTCACCACTGTCCAGAAACATACAGGGTCACCACTGTCCAGAAACATACAGGGTCACTACTGTCCAGAAACATACAGGGTCACCACTGTCCAGAAACATACAGGATCACCACTGTCCAGAAACATACAGGGTCACTACTGTCCAGAAACATACAGGGTCACCACTGTCCAGAAACATACAGGGTCACTACTGTCCAGAAACATACAGGGTCACCACTGTCCAGAAACATACAGGATCACCACTGTCCAGAAACATACAGGGTCACTACTGTCCAGAAACATACAGGGTCACCACTGTCCAGAAACATACAGGATCACCACTGTCCAGAAACATACAGGGTCACTACTGTCCAGAAACATACAGGGTCACCACTGTCCAGAAACATACAGGGTCACCACTGTCCAGAAACATACAGGGTCACCACTGTCCAGAAACATACAGGGTCACCACTGTCCAGAAACATACAGGGTCACCACTGTCCAGAAACATACAGGGTCACCACTGTCCAGAAACATACAGGGTCACTACTGTCCAGAAACATACAGGGTCACCACTGTCCAGAAACATACAGGATCACCACTGTCCAGAAACATACAGGATCACCACTGTCCAGAAACATACAGGATCACCACTGTCCAGAAACATACAGGGTCACCACTGTCCAGAAACATACAGGATCACCACTGTCCAGAAACATACAGGGTCACCACTGTCCAGAAACATACAGGATCACCACTGTCCAGAAACATACAGGGTCACCACTGTCCAGAAACATACAGGGTCACCACTGTCCAGAAACATACAGGGTCACCACTGTCCAGAAACATACAGGATCACCACTGTCCAGAAACATACAGGATCACCACTGTCCAGAAACATACAGGGTCACCACTGTCCAGAAACATACAGGGTCACCACTGTCCAGAAACATACAGGGTCACCACTGTCCAGAAACATACAGGGTCACTACTGTCCAGAAACATACAGGGTCACCACTGTCCAGAAACATACAGGGTCACTACTGTCCAGAAACATACAGGGTCACCACTGTCCTTAGACCCTCCTGCATCAGCAAGAAAGCACTCAACAAACCCAGTGGGAGGCCCAAAAAGGATCCACTCTCATGAATGTACATATTGATCCAGGACTGGGGCTGTAGATCCTGGACTCAGGCTGTAGAACGAGGATTGTGTGATGTGATGAGACTGTCTTTGTTCTATCATCGTGTAAAAGTTATTCATTTAAATCCAACTCCATTGTTTTATGTGGACTCATCTTTATAAAACTG